CCCCCCGCCGCTTCCCCGATTCTCTTTCTCTTCGGGCCCGGGGCGGCCGTGCTCTCCGTCTCTGCTTCCTCCGCGCGCTGGCGCTGGCGCTTCGCGGATGCTTCCGCCTCCTGTCTGTGCCATTTCCTCATGAACCATGCCGCCCCGTCCTCGATCTTGTCGTACCACGCCTCCTGGTCCTTGGCGCTCTCTTTCCATCTCCCCCCCTCCTTCTCCTCTTTCATGCCAAACGCCACGCGGTGTGCAGGCAGCTCTTCACGACACAATGCTTGCAAAGGTAGACAGACTCATTTGGGAAAGCTGCCTAGCTGCTCTCGCAGCATGGCCATGTGCATGCACCGTCGGGCTTGCAGCTGGTGGTGGTGCGTACGAAATAGCAAAATCCCAATGACAACAAGGCCAACCAAGAGCTGACAAGAAAGAGAGCCACAGCGGCTGAGTAATTAGTGGTGGGATTCCGAAAAGAAACGCCACACAAAAACAAAGTGTTGTGCGTTCATTTATGCGCGTACCATCTGCAACACCGGTTGGTGCCTACAAGATAGGGTTGTATTCTCCGCTTCCATCTTGGATGTTTTCTTTTGAGGTGTCGTCCATGGGCATGAAGTCGTTGTTGATCTCCTCATTTGCATCGAAGGCGCGCCTGTCTGCGCGGCGGGTCGTTTCTTCCTACAAGTTTCCAGGCCAAACTTCAAATTTCGTCCCTCGCATGACTGCTGCTGGGTATTCCATCGTAAAGGAGATCGGTCCTCCTCCACACATCCGTCCATGTGAGACTGAGGCTCGCGATGCTCCCTTTCGAACACACACGCGTGCATGGCGCTTGTTTGTGGCCTTGATTTAATTTACGAACCGCTTCGTCCAGATGACTCTCATTTTGGATTTATTCTGCTGGATGGATCAAGCTCTGTATGATGATTCGCGGTGGGTTCGTCGGTCTTGATGTGTAGTCATGCAAAACTACATGCCTGCTCCATTCTATCCACACGGCAACCAGGCACGGGACGGCAAGAGCATCAAACCTTCTTCGCAGTCAGATGCAAGGGGTCGTCATCGAATCGAAACCCCGGAAGTAATTTGCATGGTGGGTTGCTGGTTGCTGGAATGGTTGCTTGGGAGAGGAGGAGCTATGTTATTGTAGAGCAGCAGCCGTTCTAGACTCGGAGACAAGAGCTCGCTCTTTCGTATTATAGTGACAGACAGAGACAGACAGCGTTAGTACTGCTGTAGGGACAAGACGACGAGACGCAGGGGAAGTTCAGCTCTGCGATGTGAATTGGGAATTATTTTTGGTTCATAATGTTCCTCATCTTCTTGATCATGTTCTTCTCTCCGCCACGGTGACACTTCACCTACCTCATTGGTTTCGTTGTCGCTCCCGCCCGGTAAGGATTCCTCATGATCTGGTGTGGTTCTCGTTCGTGTTACTGCTCTGGCGCCCAAGTTGCTGCTGCTGCCGAGAGCGGGATGGACGACGAGTGAGCGTGGGGGCCTCAGATGGTTAGCGGCTGATCGTGCGGTGAATTTTCAGTCCATGTTCTTGCATGTTAAGCGAAGTTCAGCGCGTCACCTCTCAATATTACCTGCTGGTCTGTTGGTGTTGGGGGGATGTTGGTTGGGATGCACAGCGTCTTGTTGTTGTTGTTGTGAGGGTTGTCTTCACATTAGACTGAAAAACGTTCCGTTCTCTATTCCCAGTACGTATGTGCTTGTGCAGCTTTGCAGGAAGAAAACAATAAACACCAAACATTTGCAGCCCGTAATTAAGAATATTCGATCTCGTGGCTTGTTCATGAACGGTTAACGCGTGAACGCCCGTTGCCTTCACTTGCGTGTCAGGTAACCAGCAGGCCATCAGCATACCATCAGCGGCAGACCAGCGGCAGCAGACCAGCAGCGGCAGACCAGCAGCAGAGGACGAGAGGACGGTCATCAATAACAAACCCGCCCTTCATGCCTGCACTTGAGTGCCAGCTAACCAGTTGGTGGCCATGTTTGTTTGCGTGTTTGCTTGTCGTTAGTGGTCTCTCCACCGTGTGCATTTTTCTATCTCTTATTTCTTGTTTTTTTCGGCCTGGTCCCTTTTTGTCCTCGCTCTTTTTATTTCATTTTCGCTTTCCTTTGAGGTACTGCTGTTTCCTTTTATTTTATTTTCTTCTCTTTTTCTCGTTTTCTCTTTGTGTGCCAGATGGCCTTGCCTCTGCTTGCGTTGTGAAGTACCAAGATTGAACCACGGGGGTGTACCTCATTCTCTCCGGCCCGTGATGGCGACGCCTAGTCTCAGTTGTTACCTCGCATAGCGCGCAGAGGGAGTGGAGGACTCCAGAATATCTGTCGTTGATTTCTATTGACTTGCGGACCCCTCGGGGCCATTATATTTGAGTGTACCTTTTTAGGGTAAGTTAGCCTGCGAACACGGGAATCGACCGCGTCGAGTGTTGTATCAGTATGGACATACGAAGGTACTGGGTAGAGCGAGATCGGAACGGTTTTTAATGTGAAGACAACAACAACAACAACAACAACAACAACAACAACAACAAGACAACAGACAAGCAGCAGCAGACCAGACGCGGCAGACCAGCAGCCGCAGACCAGCAGCAGAGCACGAGAGGACGGTAATCAAAAGCAACGCCGCCCTTCATTTTTAGGGGATTCAGAGTAATAACCCGACGAGGACGGCATCCAAGATGCTGGAGCTCCCGAAATCCCCTTTGAGCTTTGAGCCCGCGAGCCCGCTGCAAACGACGTCCGCTCCCCAGCAGGCAGGTAGACAAGATAGCAGCTCCTTCCTCATTGCGCACTAATCGTTCTTGTGTTTGATCGTCATGTCGTTACCACTTCTCTCTGTGCGAGCGAACCTGTCCTCGTCAGCGCTGGGTAGCAGCTTGAGGCACCCAGCTTCTGGAAGATGTGTCAGAAACCTCGCGAGCCGCCGCCGCTGCAGCAGCGACAGCAGGTGCAACCGCCCGCCTACAAGTTGTTGGAGCAGACGAGGTCGAGCTCCTTCAGCGGTGATGGTCTCAAGGAGTCCATCTCCAATACTTTTGCAGTCACGACAACTTTCTTCGGCAGCATCGGCAGCAGCACCAACACTGCTTTTTGGGGACACCATCATCGTCACGAAGCGTTGCGCCGAGGTGAGCAGACCTCTCCTCCCCCCTCGCCGAACAATAAAGAGGTGTAGCCAGTTGTTCCACACATTAGTGACTGAACCTGGTTACGTCAACGAGATGTGCAATGCTGGCTGCGTCGCTGCTGCTGCTGGTGCTGTTGCTGCCTTTTGTTGAGTTTGCAACCGCCGCTTTCACCACACTGCTGTGTAACAGAGTTCAAAACCTCAGAGCGTTCGAGAACGAATGCTTGTTCAACTTCAAACACAGCAGCAGCAGCAGTAGCAGATGCCACAACCGAGCGCAGACCAAAGCTGCATGTAGTGTCCTCTAACGCAGACGAATTGTTCCCTTTGTTACCTGGTATTCGAGACACGCTTCCTCGATTTGAGGACGCTTTTTCTCCGCCTGCAGCGCTGTAGCGGCCAAGTAGCTGGGGCAGCCGTACAGTAGTAGTTCGGCCGCACCAATGACGTGACGACATCGCTATGTGTATGATATGTACCCTTTTTGGACCTTTTTTTTTTTTTGTCAACCCAATTGGTGTGGACGTCGGTCGTTGTACACCTTTCGGTACAACAGTTCTGGACGCACCAGTGAGGGGGGTCACACAGGATGTTGGTCACATGGAGGAGTTTTTTTGTCCGCCTTCCTTCGTGCGGTGCTTGCCTTTGTTTTGTCGCGAGGAGGATCTAGCCGTTCTTTTCCCTCGTTGAAGTCGATTATGCACACGCCAGAAATTGTTGGTTTCTACATCATTTGGGCGTACCGTAGTGAGAAAAATCATTGTTCCGTGTGACCGCACGGAGATTACGGAGGTTTGTACCTGAACCAATCAGCCACTAACTGCTGTTTTGTGACCTATCTACAAGGTACATCATGCAAGATTCGGACGTGCGGGCCGAAAGGTCCCCACGCCCTCGTGGGTACGGTGAGGGCATGTGATTCATGTAGCTGGTGTTTGGGGTGCTCGGCAGAGTACTGATGTATGGGGCCTCCATGGGTTACTATGGGTATGATGGACATGATGTGCGGGGCCCCTCTTGCCTTCCCCCATGTCTATCAGTCGTTATTCCTATACAAAGGTCTTGAGTCAACTTTCTTTCACTTTCGACCTCAGCGAAGCTGCTGAAAAGATGGGGGGGTGTACTCATAGTCGTGCATGCCGTAGTCGTTAGACCATTGACCTCGCATCCCTACAAAGCCGGGACGGAGCACGCCGGGTTCTCACCGGACCAGGCTCTCACATCACCAAGCGCGAAGCGCCGTGAGATATTCGGCGAGTCGCATGAAGGGTGCGCTGCATCCTGCTAAGGGTGTTCGGCATCTTGTGCTTACTTCCTTGCGTACGGATGACAGCTGCGTATGAATTAATTTGTTTTCTGGTGCTTTCACTCCCAGAGACAGTTGTAGGCAAGGTGTAACTGCCTCGAGGGTGCTTGACCATTTCAACACAACGCGGTGCGATCATCCCCCTTGCGCG